GTAGTCTATTAAGGTAATGGAATATTATTACATCATGAATAATAAAAATATGGATAATTCATATACATCTGAAGATTTGTATCAAGAGAGGTAGAGTAAAAACAAGAAAACCAAATGAATAGTATATAAACTGATGATGATTATGTAAACATTAAACAGTAATTAAATTCTAGTCAAATATAATGGACTTTTTCATCTTTGTCTTTGAATTCTCAGAACCAAGCTTAATGTACTACACATAGAAGCGTCTTCATAAATGTTGAATTAAATTAAATTTGGAGGGGCATTCTGGGAAGATGGTGGAGTAGGTCAGAAATTTCCAGGCTCTACAGATTTCCTCTACAGACATAAAAAAATAAAAATAAATAAGTTGATATTAACTAATGAAAGTTTAAGCACACACACCTTTCTTTTCTTTTAGCAAAAATATTTTCAATCACCCTTTCATGCTCTTTGGCTTAGCTGTTTTATTCTAATATATATTTCACCTAGATGAGAGTTATTAAATTGCCATAATAATTGCACAGGAAGAGAAAGAGAACAATGCCTAGGAAGATACTCCTAGGAGACTCAAATTGGTATAACCACAAGGGGAGGTGAGCAAGCTGAAGTGAGCAGTCATTTTTTCCCCTCTCCCCTAGAAGATAACCTACCAAGTTTGAAAGGAAAGCCCAGTCCCAGAAGGGAGAGTGATTTGTGAGAGAATCTCTGCCCCGGCTAAGGGAGTTAGGGTGAGCTCAGGGGAGATTGACGGCTCAGCTTGCCTTACTGGCCATTGCCACCTGGTGGTCATAAAAACTATCTCTTAAAAAACCCTAGCCGTTTTCACATTTTCAAATCCTTTCCAGAGATCAGAGAGATATGGTGAGCACAGTGGAAACTTGAAGAGATAAAGAAGAAGGATTGTATGAGGGAATGGTGAGCAGACAAGACGGGGACTTCACAGCACAGCCTAGGGCAGGCCCCATTGTCAGATTCCTAATTAGAAAAAAAAAAATCTTGTATTTCTCCACATAACAGCATGTGGAGCCTTGGGCTTGCCTTGCCTGGCATGGCACCTAGCATATTGGTGCTTAGTGACTACCAAGTTAATGGTGATGAGAATTAGGCTGCCATGACTCAGTTCATTTCACACCAGACATGATTTGCATTCATTGGGGGCTTCTGTCTTCTCTCTAGTGGAATTAAGAAGAAATAGGGCATGCTGCTACCTGCTACTGCTGCTGCTGCTTCTGCCTGAACCGGAATCAGACTATAATTTGTTTTGTCTGTGAATGCCTGCAGCACTTCAGTCAAATAAGCTGAAGTACCAGGGATTTCCCTACTCAGGAGCTGTCTTAATAAGGAAGTATCATATTCTATATAGTAATAACAGCTAATGTTTATAACTTGAACGTTTGCAATGTACTTCACATGCATTATTTCATTTGATTCATGTAACAAGCCTGTGACACAGGTATTATTATTATTATTAATTATTATTACCATTAATCCCCATTTTACAGATGAGGAAGCTAAGACTGAAAGAGGTAGTGACATGTTTAGGGACACACAGCTAGTATGTGTACGAGGAAGGATTTTAACTCACGTCTTCCTGACTCCAAGTCTGACTCTCTGTCCAATGTACCTAGATGCCTCCTAAGATCTTGTCAAGGTAATATATCCTCCACAAAGCCATTCAGACCAATGATATACCCATTACACAGAATTTTCAAAGTTGACTCTGACCATCTCTATGCATAAATTCCCAGCTCTTTATGTCTGGCTCTAGTCTCTCATAGTTCCAATCCCAAATTAACAAATGTCTGTTAGATGGACATTTGTTTTACATGACTTCATGTGTATAATCAATATCAAATTGCTTGCCTTCACAAGGAGGAGGGAAGAGCAAAAAGGAGGGAGATAATTTGGAACTCAAAATTTTTAAAAAAATGTTAAAAATTTTTTACATTTAATTGGGAAATATTTAACAAAAAAATTTAAAAAAGAAAAAACCAAATATCTATTAAACAGTTCATACTAGATATACATTTCAAACTCAATATATTTCAAACAAGTAATCATCTTTCTCCCCAAACTGACCGTTCCAATAGACTTTCCTATGTTTGTCCCTATATGTTTGTCAAAGGTACCAACATTCTTATAGTTACTCAGGATTGTAGACTCAGAGCCAGTCTCCTAAGACATGAGTTCCTAAAAGCAGTCCAGTTTGTTTTTCTCTTGGCCTTTCTTTACATCCCGTTTTGTACAGTGCTTGGCACATAGTAGGCACTTAATAAATGTTCATTGATTTACTGCCTCTCTCTCATCCCATCCAGGCCATCAGTTGCTAAGTCTTCTTGGTTCAACATCTGCATCTCTTGCATGCTTCTCTCTCCTTACGTGGCCACCACTCCAGTTTAGACCCTCATCACTTCCCTCTTTCATTATTTCAATAGCCTCTCAATTGGGCCTCCCTACTTCAAGTCTTTCCACTTGCCAATCCATCCTCCACACGGCTGCCAGTGATTTTCCTAAAGCACAAGTCTGACCATGTTACTCCTCTCTTCAATAAACTTCAGTCTCCCTTTATTTCCCCTAGGATTCAATACAAATTCCTCTGTTAGGTTTTAACCAAACCCTTCACAGTCTAGTTCCAATATACATTTCCAGCCTTCTTAGCTATTACTCTATGGTCCAACCAAATTGGGCTTTTTCTTGTCATCATGTCTTTTCCCATACCTGGGATCTCTAACTTCCTTCAAAGCTCAGTTCACTTTCTACATGAGGCCTTTCCTGAACTCCTTCATCTGTAATTACCTTTCCCCACCCAATCATCTTATTATTTCATTGTATTTGTGTATTTATTATGAATCCATTTACATTATATATGTATATATGTATATATACATATAATATATGTAAATATGTATATATATATATAATCCATATACATTAATATATGTATATATTATCTCTTCCAGAAGAATTTAAGCTCCTTAAGGTAGGGGCTATTTCTTTTTTATCTTTGCATCCCTAGTACCTATCACAGGGATGCTGGGCACAGGGTAGCATCTTAATATGTTTGTTTGTTTGATTGATTGATCTCAATTGAGATAACAAATTAAAGTTCTAAACAAATGTCAGTTATGATTATCTCAACTTCCCTCCTCAACCTCTGAAAGTGCAAAATATTGAAGTTCTTTGAAATGCCCTTCTGCAATCATCCCACTCTAATGGTAGATACTAATGAAGAAAATAAGCATTTATATAGAACTTACTATGTACCAGCCACTATACTAAGCACTCTTTACAAACATTATCTCATTAAGAGCTCAATGTCGGGTTCAAGAAAATGACCCCAAGGGTCTTTGCTACATGCTTTCATTTAAATGTTGTTGTTCAGTTGTTTCAGTCATGTCTAACTCTCTGTGACTCATTTGAGGTTTTCTTGGCAAAGATACTGGAGTGGTTTGCCATTTTCCTTCTCTAGCTCATTTGACAGATGAGGAAACTGAGGTAAACAGGGTTAAGTGATGTGCCCAGAATCACACAGTTAGTAAGTGTCAGAAGCCAGATTTGAATTCTGGAAGATGAGTCTAGCCTAGCACTCATGAAATAGAGCCATAGTAACACATGGGGAGACTAGAGTAGGAAGAAACCATGAGGATCATTTATATTCCAGGAGTTCTGAACCTTTTTTGTGTCATAGACTTGGGCAGTTTGGTGATATCTATGGACCCTTCTCAGAAAACATTTTTAAATGCCTAAAACAAAATAGGATCACAAAGGAAACCAATTACATTGAAATAAAGCTGTAACTGGTTTTTTTTTTCCTTATCCAAGTTCATGGGTGCCAGGATTTAGTCCAGCTTCCTTATTTTACAGATGAGGAAACAGACTCAGACAACTTGCCCATGATCATCGGGTAAGTCTGAAGCAGAATAGGGACCAGAACTAGGGCTCCTGATGCCAAGTCCACTGCTGAGGAGGTCTAGCAGGAAGAGGGGCATCTTACTGTCTAACTGTCTTACCTTGGGGAGCAGCTGAGTTCTTTCATCTTCCACCATCTTCACCTTCTTCCTAGAAAACCTCTTACCAAAAGGTTAAGAAAAGAGCTCCTCTCTCTTTGCACAGTTTCTCACGATTGCAAGAGAGCTGCTGCTGCTGATAAAATTCTTGGGGCTGGCTGGAGGCTGAGAACCACAAACATGGGATTGGAGAGCTCTGCCGGTCAGCCAGATACTAGAGTCATAACTGAATCATGTGAGAAGTCATACTTTAGAGCTTAAGACTTGCAAACATTTTCTCTTCTGGGGCATCACTAAGCTAACAGTGTTTCTCAGATGCAGCAACCATGTAGGGATTGTCTATAGTTCATTTAGCACAACATTACTACTAAGGCATCCTTCTCCTTGTTCTCACTGTCATCATTTTAGTAGAGATGTGGGCAAGGCTGGCTGCTTCAAGCTGAGCCTTATGAGGTGGCTGTGCCTTGCTGAAGTTTACCGTGGGTCTAAGGTTTTGTTGTTACTTGGAGGCAATCAAGGTTAAGTGACTTGCCCAGGGTTCCACAGCTACTGTGTCTGAAGGCAGATTTGAACTCAGGTCCTCCCTACTCTAAGGCCAGTGCTCTATCCACTGAGCCACCTGGCTGCTCCTCATAGGTCTAGGTTTGAATCCTAAGCTTTGTTGATTTAAAAACTCTGTTGCCATCTCACATGACTTGTCGTAGACTGATTTATAAATTAGAATACCAGTTTACTAATTTACAATCAAAGAATGGTGGGTATACCCAAGATAAGAAGATGCCTAACTGACCTTAATCGGAGACATAGAGCTAGAAAGAACTTTGAACAGAGTCATAACTCGGGCAGGGGAACCAGGGTTTTGCCTTAGGGTACTGACATTTAGAAAGACGTGTTTCCTCTCTTCATCTATCTGAAGACTGCTATAGCCCTGCCCAGAGTGTTGTGCTCATCTGCCTGTCTCTTCCACGAGTCAAAACCCCCATCCCTCACCTGATCTTGGGGTGCCATCCTCAGAGTCCTGTTGTCATAAACCAAAATCTATGAAGGAGGGGAGGGTCAGTCTCTCTTCTTGTGTATATCCACAGGTAGACAGTGGCCATGACATCACCAATGTCAGCAGGCTTTGTGGAAACTGAAACCAGAGATGTTAAGACTGGAGGTCTCAAAAACAAGCAGGGATTCAAACTGAAGTTCTCTGACTCAGACAAATTGACAAATCGGGTGGGTGTTAAGTAAAAAAAGGGAAAGGATGTATGGTGTGGCTATAAATTAAGAGGTGATAAAAGGTTGCAAAGATTTTTTAATTTTTGTTTTTTAAACAAAATCTTGGGAAATGGCTGTAAACCTCACTGACACTTTTGAAACAAACCTTGTAGACTCACTACAAAGTTCATCCTGCTTGGAATTCCTAGCCATGATATTTGAGTGACCAGTTTTGCAGTGATTTGTACTGAGGATGCAGTGTTTGTGTTTTTGCTACAGTCAAGTGACTATTGCAGGATCTATGTGTAAGGGAGTGCCATTTTCAGATTTGGCAAATTTTTAGAAGGAGAAGGGAAGATACAATGTACAGATGCAATGAGATGTAAGTGTAAGCTCCATTTAGGTTTTAAATGGTTGCATTTGTACCTTGTCAAGAGTAGGCCTCTTTCAGATTCTGAGGATATCACAGAAAAGATGTAGAGGAAATTGTGGAAAGATGGCAGAATAAGGCAGGAAATTACACAGCTCTCCCAAATTCCCCCCTTCCTCAAATAACTTAAAATAGTGCCTCAAAATGAATTTTAGAGCGGCAGCAATAATTAAAAGTCAGGAAAATATTAATTTATAAAAATAATTAAAAAGCAGCAGTCCAGCCTAAAGGATGTAAAACTTTGCATAGGTTATTTTCTTATGGTAATTTTTATTTATTTTTTTGCTTTCCACATTTACTTCCACAAGATTTTGAGTTCCAAATTTTCACCCCATCTCTCCCCTCCCCCCACCCCAAGATGGCATGCATTCTAAACACCCCTTCCCCTAGTCTGCCTTCCCTTCTATCTCTTCCCCCCTTATCTTATCCCCTTCCCCTTCAATTTTCCTGTAGGGCAGGATGGATTTCTGTACCCCATTTCCTGTATTTATTTCCCAGTTGCATGTGAAAACATTTTTTTAAACATGTGTTTTTAAAACTTTGAGTTCCAAATTTTCTCCCTTCCTCCCTCCCCACCCACCCTCATTGATAAGGCAAGCAACTAAATATAGGTTATATATGTGCAGTTATGCAAAACGCTTCCATAGTAGACATGCTGTGAAGAACTAACTCTATTTCCCTTAATCCTATCCCACTCCCTCATTTATTCTATTCTTTCTTTTGACCCTGTCCCTCCTCAGAAGTATTTGCTCCTGATTACTCCCTTTCCCAATCTGCCCTTCTCTCTATCATCCATCCCCCTACTCTCTTGTCCCCTTCCCCCCCTATTTTCCTGTAGGGTAAGACAGATTTCCACACCCAATTGAGTGTGTATGTTATTCCCTCCTTAAGTCAAATCCTATGAGAATAAGATTCACTCATTCCCTCTCACCTTCCCCCTTTTTCCCTCCACTGTAAAAGCCTTTTCTTTTCTGGTTTTTTTTTTTTTTTTTGTGGGATAATTTACCCGGTTCTACCTCTCCCTTTCTCCTTCTCCTAGTATATTCCTCTCTCACCCCTTAATTTTATTCTCCAGATATGACCCCTTCATTTTCAACTCACCCTGTGCCCTCTATCTATCTATATCTATACATACGTACTTATAATTTTTTCCCCTCCAACTACCCTAATACTGACAAAGGTCTCATGAGTTACAAATATCATCTTTCCATGCAGGAATGTAAACAGTTCAACCTTAATAAGTCTCTTATGATTTTCTCTTTCCTGTTTACCTCTTCATGTTCCGCTCAAGTCTTGTATTTGAAAATCAAATTTTCTATTCAACTCTGGTCTTTTCATCAGGAATGCTTGAAAATCCTCTATTTCACTGAATGACCATTTTTTCCCCTGCAGGATTATACTCAGTTTTGCTGGGTAGGTGATTCTTGGTTGTAATCCTATCTCCTTTGCCCTCCAGAATATTATATTCCATGCCTGCGGTCCCTTAATGTAGAAACAGCTAAATCTTGTGTTATCCTGATTGTGTTTCCACAATACTTGAATTATTTCTTTCTGGCTGCTTGTAATATTTTCTCCTTGACCTGGGAACTCTGGAATTTGGCTACAATATTCCTAGGAGTTTTCCTCTGGGGATCTCTTTCAGGAGGAGATCGGTGGATTCTTTCAATTTCTATTTTGCCATCTGGTTCTAAAACATCAGGACAGTTTTCCTTGATCATTTCTTCAAAGATGATGTCTAGGCTCTTTTTTTGATCATGGCTTTCAGATAAGTCCAATAATTTTTAAATTCTCTCTCCTGGATCTATTTTCCAGGTCAGTTGTTTTTCCAATGAGATATTTCACATTGTTTTCTAATTTTTCATTCTTTTGGATTTGTTTTACAGTGTCTTGATTTCTCATAAAGTCACTAGCTTCCAATTGCTCTATTCTAATTTTTAAGGAAGTATTTTCTTGTTTTGTTTTTGGTTTTTTTTAGGCACTTGGGGTTAAGTGACTTGCCCAGCTAGTAAGTATCAAGTGTTTGGTCTGAGGCTGGATTTGAACTCAGGTCCTCCTGACTTCAGGGCTGGTGCTCTATCCACTGTGCAACCTAGCTGCCCCAAGGAAGTATTTTCTTCAGTAAGCTTTTGGACTTCCTTTTCCATTAGTCCAATTTTGCTTTTTAGGGCATTCTTCTCCTCATTGTCTTTTTGGACCTCTTTTGCCATTTGGGTTAGGCTATTTTTTTAAGGTGTTATTTTCTTCAGTACTTTTTTTGGGTCTCCTTTAGCAAGCTGTTGACTTGTTTTTCATGATTTTCTTGCATCACTCTCAGTTTTTCCTCTACTCTTACTTGCTTCTCAAAATCCCTTTTGAGCTCTTCCAAGGCCTGGGACTGATTCATATTTTTCTTGGAAGTTTTGGATGTAGGAGTTTTGATTTTGTTGTCTTCTTCTGGTTGTATGTTTTGATCTTCTTTGTTACCAGAGTAAGATAATATAGTCTGACTCTTTTTGCGCTGCTTACTCATGATCACGGCCAATTACTTGAGTTTTCAACTCTTTGTTAAGGTAAAAGTCTGCTTCCAATGTGAAGAGTGTACTGTCCCAAGCTTTGGGGGTTTGTACAGCTGTTTTCAGAGGTACTTCTAGGGACTTGTAAATTTTCAGTTCTTCCAAGATGTTATGATAAGGGGCGAGGTGCTTTCTCTCCACCACCACAACAAGCTCCACCACATCAGCGCTCCTCCTTGCCCCAGGACTGCCCCTCAGAACTGTGACTCAGATTCAAGCACTGGTAAAGCAAGAGATTCCTGCCTCAGCACTGGCAAAGAAATCCCTGCAATCCCCCTCTGATCAGCCACTGTATTCCCCCTCAGTCTGTGGGCTGGAAGCTCAGGAAAAAGCGGGCCGTGCTCGAGACTTGTGCCTGAGACCTAGCTCCTTCTCTCACCGCAGTCACAGACTTTTCTCATTGACCTTCTAAGTTGTCTTCGGTGTTGATGGGTTAAGAAGTCTGGAAACCACCACAGCTGCCCTCAATTCAGTCTTCTGAGGCCTGTTCCAGGGTCGCTGCAGCCTACGCACCCATGCTGCACTGCGCTCCTCTCCCTGCCATGCGCGATACACCTTTCCAATCAGCCATCCAGGCTGTCTTTGGCTGGAAATTTGTTTCACTCTGTCTTTTTGTGGATTCTGCTGCTTTAGAATTTGTTTAGAGTCATTTTTTAGGTATTTGGAGGGCTTTGGGAGAGAGTTCAAAACAGTCACTGCTTTCCCTCCACCATCTTGGCTCCGCCCCGTGTAGGTTATTTATAAACAAAAAAAGACAGGAAAAGCAGCTGAACTTTCCTCCTGGGCACAGATTCCTTCTGTATCTTCTCTCTCTATCTCTCTCTGTCTCTCTCTGTCTCTCTCTCTCTTCTCTCTCTGTCTCTGTCTCTCTTTCTCTGTGTCTCTCTGTCTGTCTGTCTCTCCATAGAAGCCTTTTAAAATATTGTGAATTTAAAAATCCTCAACAAAGAAATATTTCAAGATACAAATGTACCAAATGTACCACATGCTCCATGCTTCTCTCCTGATAATTGCATTGGTAAACTGGGTCCCCAGAGTTTGGGTACCTATACTTCCCCTTAGAGTTCTAGGGGTAGCTTTGAGGTTGTGGGGGCATCTTTCTAATGTAAAATAGCTCAAGCGTCCACTAGCTGGCTTTTCACAATGATTATCATCTGATATCACTCAGCCTGCCAGACTTAACTAGTTTTTAGAAAGGGTTATTTATTAAGGTAAACATCTCTCCTGAAGTCTGTGATCCATTCTCCTACTAGTACATACATATCCCAGGGGATATTTGGCTCAAGCTTTGGGAGCACACATGACAAAGGGATAATTCACAGTTCCCTTTCTCTGCCAGGCTCTTGGTAGAGTCCCGATGCTTCTTTTCCTCAGTGTTTAGTTTGTCCTCAGCTTCCAGTAAAGTCTGCTTCAGCTATTCTCACTGTATGTGCCTACTTTTCCTACTGATATCATATTTATTTGTGGGTGAATGTGGCCCAGGATTAATGAGAGAAGTGTTTTGTACTGCTACTGTTTTTACCATGTCATCTCAGGAAATACCTTTGCTTTGAACTAAGTATGTCTTTTGGCAGACTATTAAAGATAAAAACATTAGTGGAGGCTTGTGAGCTAAAGTTTTACAAGTGTGGACCCACAGAATACCTTTAATCTGGGGTTGTCATCTCCTGGGGGATCCAACTTTTAAGTGCAAGTAGTGAGTATATCCTGTAGGGAGCTGCCATATAGATTTCGCATATAGACTGGTCTTTCTCCTAGAAGAAAAGGTAACTGTGCCGGCCGCGCTGTGCACTCTCCTCCTATAAGGAGCAGGCTGCCAGAGTCATACTACTTACCAGTCTTCGGTGCCCACCCGGATAAACACACAGAGACGAGCCGATCAGGAGGTGCCAACACTGGAGCTTTATTCAGAGGCCATCACAGCAAGGCCAAGCAG